GGGAACCGCCCATTCTCTAATCAGAAAGTATGTCTAATGAGGGTTTAACAATGAAGTTGCTGCAGTCTCCTATGACTCTTTTTGTGATGAAGGGAAAATGGGTCAGATTTGGCCCAAATACTTTGACCTGGGATAGATTCTTGTAATGGAATTCAATTGAACTTGCTATAACACGTCATCATACTTCGTTTTACAAACTGCATCACGCATGACTTGAAATTGTGAAAGCATTTTGTTTTGGGTGCACACATTTGATTGCACAGGGCTCTGAGATTATAAAGGAAACTGATCGGTTCTGGCAATGAATCTGCATGCTGGCTATCGGTGAAACGCACTTGTCTTGGGATTTTGTTTATTCGGCCTGAAATAAACGCACTGCAAATACACCAAATCCCAAGCACAACCTTTGTCCCAGTACCAAAAACGTGTCTCACTTTGTTTCTCTTTCTGTCAGCTCATGCTATTTTCTCGCCTAGGAAAGCATTGGCGTTTTTGAAAAATTAGCTTGTTTGCACGACAACCTTTTAACATCAGAGCGGATTTAATGGGGAACGATGTGTCTGGTCGAGGTTGAGCGATACCTGTGCCAACAGCTGTCATATTTACCAAATAGCTCTACCTCTGGCGGCATGTTCCCGACTTGTTCCAACTCTTTCAGAACCTAATTGTGCCAACATTTACAATTCTGAGCAGATTCCTGAGCGCTAGCTGAATGTTGGTGGATGGCTTTGCTTAAGTAAGGTGAAACGTCCAATTACAGTGATGGTGGTGCAAACATACCAATAGAGTCTAAGGTTTACATGTATTATTGCATAAATACACATGCAGATCAGATGGAGACTTTCTTTTTTTAACAGCTGTCTTTTTCGGTTAAAGTTTCAGTCAGAATGGCAGGAACGAGGGCAGTTGAGATGATCCAATCTCTTGGGAAGCCATTAAATGACCTAATTGAAATTAATTGAGAGCAGTCTAGAATTTTGCCTCGGTAGAAAATCCTTCTCCCTGAATTTTCCTTGGAGGTGGTTTTACATTAGCAACTGGCCTGCTGGGTACTAGTTAATGAGTGTCGTTTCCCACTCTTATCATTTAACTCCTCTCAAAGCGTGTTGTATAGAAAGGGTTTATGGAGATAATGGTTGCATTAAGTGTTGGGATGCGACCAAAGCCGAGTCGTTCATTTGAGTGTTTCTGACACAAGTGAAAAGGGGTTTGAACGGGTCTCGGCATGCACAGGTGCCTCAAAAACCAGCCGCTGTTTTGTCTGTGTTGCCCGAGGACTGTGTTAGATGCTTGATGTTTGAAGTGCATGTTTGAAGTCTGCAAAGAAGGTCTTAATATAGTTTATTTGTAGCCCTCTCCTCCGTGAGGAGCCTGATATCTTTGGCAGCAGACATCATTCTGAAGCTACTGTTTAGCTGGAATGATAATTGTATCTTGATTAGGTCTACTTGGGTGCTAAAGCTGTAGTTTTATATTTTGTTAAGAGCATTTAAATGGTGCTTGTCCGTGAAAAATATGCCGCTATAATGTTGGAGTTGGTCTGACAACTTTCCCGGTATTTGCCTATCCCCTTCTGTGTGGTTGCTAGGCGGTGAAAAGTAAAAAAGTTATTCTGCAGATCTTTGTTAATATTTAGAGAATTTAATAATTATATATATATATATATGTCTTTTTATTGATTGATTGATTGTTAAATTATTCTTTTTTTATATTTCATTTTATTTTAATTTCAGAGTATTAAAATATAAGGACACATGTAATTATAAGCTGTTTTAATGTTAATGAATAATTTTATGGTAAAACTGAGTTATTCTGCAGAGCTTTGTGCAGTAAATCTTTAGAGAATTTTATTTAATAATTTATTATTGTTATTATTTTAGATTATTTTTATTATTTTTTAAGTTGAAACATTTTTTTGAATTAGACTAGAATGATAAATAATTTAAAGGGCTCATATGATGCTATTTTCAAAGCTCATTATTTTGTGTATTGGGTGTAATAGAATATGTTAGCATGCTTTGATGTTCAAAAAATGCATTATTTTTCACGTACTGTTCATTATTGCAGATCCTCTATGAACAGTCTTTCTAAAACGCGTCAATTTATACAAAGCCCCTCCTTCGAAAAGTGCAGTGTGCTCTGATTGGCCAGCTGACCCAGTGCGTTGTGATTGGCCGAACTTCTCAAGCGTGTGTCAGAAATGTAACGTCCCTTACCATAATCGTGAGCTTTAGCTTCCAAACCAATTATAAGAACAGTTAATAATGTCATCAGTTTTATTCTATCAGTTTGAGTACGACTTGAGCCGAACATATCAGAGTGGTAAACCTGCACATGACGCCGCCAGTGTGAAAGCACAACGGGCGCGATCTGCTTCAGCTCTCCAGTGTGAAGCAGAACACGTAGTGAATCATATTTGTCGTCTTTTCGCCGCCAGTTATAAGCAGAGAACAGAGGATACTATGTTTGTAAACATAAATCCATCTCTGTCTGCACTTGTGATCGTAAGAACGACAAACAATATGCATTATTCGACACTTTACCAAACTCCACATTTGAACAGTCAATAGCAAATTCTAAAGCATACTTACGGGCTCTGATTCAGAAGTGCCAGATTGTCCTAGCAAAGTTGGAATTGCCCTGTTTTTTTAGAAACAACCATTCTGCACTGAAAAAGTTCAGGAAACATTGCTGCACACACTCGAACATTTGGATTGTACAGTTCTGGGACAGTGTTGTAAATAAATGTTAACCACTGGCTCCTAATTGCGTCCACTTTCGGAAGGCCAAAAAAAGTGCTTTTGATTTCGCATAGAAATACAAAGCGTCTCCACAACATGGCAGCAACAACACTACCGTGACACCTGAAACCATGCCTTCTTTCTTTGCGTATCCATTTGGGTGGTATTATGCAAAGATTTCCACATAGTGACGTAGATATGTGAGGCGTTTTTGGCCGGTCTGGATCAGCCTTCTCTTTTAGATAGAAAAATTCCTTTTGTGGGAGACTTTGAGCTTTGTAACTTTGCAGATCTTATACATGCACAAACAGCTACAAAACACACTAAAGTAAAAAGAAAACATTAAAGCACATCATATGACCCCTTTAAATATTTTTAAAAAATATTTTTACTTGTATATTTTTTGGAACATTAAAGGTCATAAAGTGCATGCAAATGAGGCGTTTTAATGCTAATGAATCATGTCATAGGTAAACTGATTAGAGTGATTTACTATATCAGAGGATCAGCTGAATGTTGAACTGTTGCCGTTCAGGTTTGATGGTTAACTCTGCTCACTGCACGGATCATTAGCGTTTAGTGGAAAGCGTGCTTCAGTAAGCTCACAGGTGTCTCCCAGTGAATCAGACAGCGCTTATCATCTCCTCTATCAAAAGATTATATTTATATCCACTCACACAGCTGAATCAAATCTTTTCAGATGACAGAATTTACCCACACAAAGGCGAGTGTTTTGTGCGTGAGTGTGTTCCAGCTCTCAAAGCCGTAGATGTCAAGCGTTAGAATCAGAGATTGATGCAGTTCGTGAATCTCGAAGCGTGTTGTGACACAGACCTGCATCCTGGCACACACCGCCAACATCTCGCTCGCTCGCTCTCTCTGTCTCTTTTATAAAGTTGTTCTTCTGAATGCCAGCAGAGCTTTGTGGTAAACCCGAATTCATGACAGTTATTGTGCTTCGATTATTAAGCGAGCAGTATAAGGAAAGAAAACATTTTTATGTTGCTTTTTATTTATTAGCATCACTATACAATAGATTAAAATAGTGTCATTTTTAGTTGTTCGTGTATTATTGTTTGTATTACCTACCCCAAACTCTAATAAATGAGTAATAATAATAATAATGTCTTTCTTTCTTTTTCTTTCTTTCTTTCTTTCTTTCTTTCTTTCTTTTTCTTTCTTTCTTGACTACCCCACATCCTGAAAGTAACAAGTTAAATTAATAATTATTATTCTTAATATTAATCTATTTATTTATAAGCGTCACTATATAATAGATTAAAATAGTGTTTTTTTTGTTGTTTATGTATTGTTCAAGATTTTATTGACTATCCCAAACGTACATAACAATTAAAAGAAATAAAATAATAATAATATCATTAAATAATAATTATAATCATTAATATATCAGATTCAAATTTTCTTTTTTTAGTTTTTCATGTATTGTCGTTTTTAATGACTACCCCAAACCCTGAAAGTATCAAGATAGATAGATTGACAAATAAATATTTTTTTTTATTATTTCTTTCTTTCTTTCTTTCTTTCTTTCTTTCTTTCTTTCTTTCTTTCTTGACTACCCCACATCCTGAAAGTAACAAGTTAAATTAATAATTATTATTCTTAATATTAATCTATTTATTTATAAGCGTCACTATATAATAGATTAAAATAGTGTTTTTTTTGTTGTTTATGTATTGTTCAAGATTTTATTGACTATCCCAAACGTACATAACAATTAAAAGAAATAAAATAATAATAATATAATTAAATAATAATTATAATCATTAATATATCAGATAAAAAAAATTCTTTTTTTAGTTTTTCATGTATTGTCGTTTTTAATGACTACCCCAAACCCTGAAAGTATCAAGATAGATAGATAGATTGATAAATAAATAATTTTTTTTATTATTTTAAATACTTAAAAGGGTGGTTTATTTGTACAAAGTGACTGGAAGAAATTTTTTTTTTTTTAATGATTTGAGTCTTAGTGATGCAACAAAGTTGAACAAAGTTCAAATTTATGCAAATGTATAATGTTTAAAGTGTCATTAATTTAATTAATTTGCTGCTTAAGAGATGCTTTAGCTGAACTGAACTCTAACCCTCCCATTAGACGACACTCAATAACAAGGTGTTTGACAGACATTTGCTGCTGGCTTGCATGTGCTGCGTTCATGACTAAACTAATCAAAGCTGTCCAGGGTGTGCGAGACATCCAGGATGTTCATGAGGTTTGATATCCACATATATGTCCAGCTGATCCTGTCCTGACTGCTGCTCTGTGTGTGTGTGTGCGTGTGTTTTCAGAGACGTGTGCGGTTAATAACGGAGGCTGTGACAGCACGTGCCATGACGCCGTGACTGGAGTTCGCTGCAGCTGCCCGGTGGGATTCACCCTACAGCTGGACCGCAAGACCTGCAAAGGTACCATCACACAGAGATCATCCCCTCATCTCACAGACAAATCCAATCTACCAATCCTAATTAGGAGCGACATGCATTCTTCTGTTCTAGTTAAAAGAGAAAATGATGCACGAGGCAATAAAATCCCAGCAGATTAAAAGACAGATTTTGAGGGTTCAATGTGAGCAAACATTTCACATTGCTTTGCAAAAATTTAGTTTAACATGAAAGAGATTAAAGGGATAGTTCACCCAAAAATTTAAATTTTGATGTTTATCTGCTTACCCCCAGGGCATCCAAGATGTAGGTGACTTTGTTTCTTCAGTAGAACACAAACGAAGATTTTTAAGTCAAACCGTTGCAGTCTGTCAGTCTTATAATGGAAGTGAATAGGAATCACGGCTTTGAGAGTCAAAAAAACATACACAAACAAAACCAAATTAAACCCTGACACTAAAATGACTGACAGACTGCAACGGTTTGAGTTAAAAATCTTCGTTTGTGTTCTACTGAAGAAAC